CTAAATAAATATTCACATCATTTCTCCCATTTTATTCTCACCTTTTGCTTCTCTCTTCTTCAACCATGACCTAATCTAGGGATGGGTATAAGACCCAAATCTAATAGGTTTTGACCCGACTTGATTGGGTTGATTTTTTTTTATAAAAAAATCGGATTTGGGTCGTGTTGGATTTTTTTTAATATGATGTTCGGTCGGGTCGGGTTCGGCTTTAGGGTGAAAATATCCGATTCTACCCGACCCAAAAAATATATATAATTTTACCTTAAAATTTAGGAATAATTATAATAATACCTCTCTCTATATTATTTTTTTAATTAAATCACTATTTTTATTGAATAAAAATATTTTTTATTATTATTTCGAGTCGTATCGGGTTTTTAAGTTATATATCGGGTTAGGTTTCGGGTGGAGGACTCCTTATTCTTGGGTCGGTCGGGTGGACCAAAAACCCAATCTAACCCGACCCATGCACATCCCTGCCCTCATCTTCAATCCAAGAAGGTAACACTATTGACTTCCTTTGATTATGTTTTGATTTTTTCTTCAATGTATTTTATGGATTATTTTAGGGAAAAAAATGCTAAATCGGCTTACTTTAGCTGACTTATCAGTTTTTTAATTGAATTTTTAGCTTAAATTTTAGTTTAGTTTGGTTTATATCTAGATCCATTGGAGCTTAGTTCTTAAGAATTATATTGGGGATTAGGGTTCTTTAATTTTGAATATGGTGGTGGTTTTAGTATGAAATTAATTTTTAAGATGAAGATATTGAAAGGTGGCATCAAATCTTTTGTAATTGATTCATTAATAAGTGCTGAAAAATCAAATCATCTAATTTCTGGTGATGGGGTTAAAGATTATGAAAAACTTGTGATTAGTTTAATAATTATTATTGATTGTTAAGGTGGAGATATGGATCTGGAGAAAGGCCTGGTGAGTCCACATCCGGGTCATAATCCGGTTTGGAAGCTTCGCCGATACCATCACCTTCCTCAACTGCAACAACGACTCCGGCTTTGATCCTATCAAATTCCTACAAGCGTATTGATAGGATGAGAAGTAGCCTTACCAGTTGCATTTCCACCGTTATGAACCACTCAGCAACACCATCACCCTCATCTATAGCAACGGCCCCGGCATTGATCCTATTGAATTCTAACAAGTAGATTGACAGAATTTCCAGTAGCCTCACCAGTTCCAGTTCCAGTTCCGGACGCCATAATGACACCTAGCTGCATTTGGCAGCACAGCGTGGTGATTTGGCAGCTGTGAAGCAGCTTCTTGCCGACATTGTTTCGCAGATGACGAGGACTGCAAGTGGTGAAGATTTTGATATGGAGGTCTCGGAGATACAGGCTAGTGTGGTTAACGAGGTGAATGAGTTGGGGGAGACTGCCTTGTTTACTGCTGCGTAGAAAGGACACCTCGATGTTGCAAGGAGTTGCTAAAATACTCGAACAAAGAGACTGTTACTAAGAAGAATAAATCCGGGTTTGATCCGTTGCATATTGCTGCAAGCCAAGGGCACCATGGTAATGATCCTTAGCTTTCGTTTTGTGAGTTTGCTTGTGCTGTTATTTGATTTCAATTGGTTAGTCGAGTTCTTGTGAATATGACATAGTAAAAGTACCGGTTCTAGTCGGTGTCAATGTCTGTTGAATAATTTGACGGCTAAGCCAACATTTTACTAGGCCACCTTTGATTTGCATCACATATAAACCGAGTCGGTAATCATATTTCAGTCGAGTTTCGTAGATTCTATGATAGAAAAGTGACCTGGTCCATTCCTTGCAGGTATTGTCCAGGTACTACTAGATCATGATCCTGGTCTATGCCAAAAATTTGGACCATCGAATGCAACCCCTCTTGTCTCAGCAGCTACAAAAAGGACATACGGCTGTAGTTAATGAGCTGCTATCGAGAGATGGTGGCCTGCTAGAGAGTACGAGATCAAACGGGAAAAATGCATTACATCTAGCTGCTCGACAGGGGCATGTAGATGTTGTACAAGCGTTGCTGAGCAAAGATCCGCAGTTGGCAAGAAGAACCGACAAGAAAGGACAGACAGCATTGCAGATGGCTGTTAAAGGACAGAGCTGTGAGGTGGTGAATTTGCTTCTATAGGCAGATGCTGCTATTGTGATGCTCCTGGACAAGTTCGGGAACACCGCACTACATGTAGCCGCTCGAAAAAAGAGAGAAGAGGTGTGACTATTCTCTCACTTCATTTTCAATTCTTGCTATAGAGGTAGAAGCATGTCTCAATGATGTCGGACACTGGTACTGCTATGTTGTTCCGATTTTATTTTTCTTGTCATACTTGTGTTTGGCACATATTCAAACATGGTACGAGGATAGTGACATTCCTCACAATATTTTACAAAACAGTTTCACATATGAAGAATCTTGCTATTTCCTTGCAGATTGTTGATGTGTTGTTGTCCCTTCCTGATATGAATGTCAATGCACTCACCAGAGATCATAAAACGGCTCTCTACATAGCTGAAGGGCTTCCACCCTCTGCAGAATCCGCAGAAATAAAGAGTTGCCTTTCTCGTAAAGGTGCTCTCAGAGCTAATGAACTGAATCAACCGAGAGACGAGTTGAGGCAGACGGTGACACAAATTAAGAAAGATGTCCATACACAGCTTGAACAAACCAAAAGAACTAACAAAAATGTTCATAATATCTCGAAGGAACTTAGAAAACTCCACCGAGTAGGAGTCAATAAAGCCACGAATTCTTTTTGTGGTAGCTGTTCTATTTGCAACAGTTGCTTTTGCGGCTATATTTACCTTGCCTGGAGGAGATCAAGATAGTGGAGTTGCGGTGGTGGTAAGCTCGAGTTCTTTCAAAATCTTCTTCATCTTCAATGCTATTGCTCTCTTCACCTCTTTGGCTGTCGTCGTCGTTCAAATTACTTTGGTCCGAGGTGAAACCAAAGCCGAGAAACAGGTGGTGGAAGTGATTAACAAGTTGATGTGGTTGGCCTCGGTCTGCACTTCAGTTGCTTTTATGGCCTCCTCGTACATAGTGGTGGGCAGGAAACATAAATGGGCTGCAATTTAGGTTACCGTCGTAGGGGGTCTGATAATGGCCGGAGTTTTCGGCACCATGACATATTATGTGGTGAAATCGAAGAGGACTAGAAGGAAGAGGGGAAAGAATTCAAGAAGTGGATCCAACTCTTTGCTTCATTCCGACTTCACTAATTCGGAAGTCGAAGTCGATAGAATTTATGCCCTCTAAGACCGGAATCTATAGCTTCGGAAAAGGAAAAATGGAAGACGAATGTTAGAAATGGGCCAATACGTCATATGCGTAAGATAAGATTAAATAAGGATAATAACTTTCGGCATCTGCACCAAGTACACCCCGCGTTCATGGCCATGCTTCGCAAGGTAAAAGTGGTTCGAATAAACGGTCCGGATCTTTTTATTACATGTCCTTCAAATTTGTTGGGTCCATATTTTAGTTTTGGTGGCTGGAGGCATGAGTTTCAGTCCACAAGCCGATGTTCAAGGTACTGAAAGGCGATACTTCATCAACGATGCATCATTTCACATGCTTAAAATATCAGAACTTGAATACAATTCGAGATTTCCTGGAGTTAATACTGGTAAACACTGCATCAGCTCTCATCCGCGGATTTCGTTTGATCAGCATTGTCGTAAATTAACCCATTCTGTTGGACTCGAATCGGTCATATTTTTTTTAACTCTTGAATAGTGACAACATGTATCGAATCCCTGGCCTTGAAATGTATGAATGACTAGCTTTTCCTATAATTATCAGAACTTGAATACAATTCGAGATTTCCTGGAGTTAATACTGGTAAACACTGCATCAGCTCTCATCCGCGGATTTCGTTCGATCAGCATTGTCGTAAATTAACCCATTCTGTTGGACTCGAATCGGTCATATTTTTTTTAACTCTTGAATAGTGTCAACATGTATCGAATCCCTGGCCTTGAAATGTATGAATGACTAGCTTTTCCTGTGATTAAACTGTATTATTACAAGGCATGTTTGTTGTGCTTTCGTTACTAATTTCTTGAAGTGGTAAGCGGCAACAGTTCGGTTTAGTTTGATTCCGAAAGGAGAAATCTACTGTTTGCAGTGTTATGCGTTTTGAAAAACCGAGTGGATATTGGATCTTTAAATATGTTTGGACTAACATTAGAATTTGGAAATTTTCTAATTTAGTCCCTAAATTTGATTTTCAGCGATTTGATGATGTGTCACTATGAGATTGTATCATGTCATCGTTCGAAAAGAAAATATTTCTTAAAAATTATTAGATAAATGATATGGGCCAATTTCCGAGAATTATATCATCAAAATGGATAAAAATATAAGTTTAGGGAATAATTTTGTAAAATTTAACAAGCTATAGGACCGATGTGGATGAATAGAAATTTATGGACAAAGTTACAAAAGGTTGCCAAATTTACGGAGTAACAGTGCTTCGTCCCAAAATGTACAAACTGCAGCCGATTCAGCCCAACCCATGATGTTGCAAAATGAACTTCAATTTATCGACGACCCAAACTTAATATGATAACCAAGAGTAAGTAGTCTATTCCAGTTTTTTCAACTTTTATTTAAATTTAACCATAAATATTTATAACATTATAATATATATTTATTTTAATTTAAATGTTTTTTTATAATCATATATTTTATCGGTGATATATATATATTATGTAAAGTTAAAAAATTTGACTTGAATTTAAAAAATCAATTCATTAATTATTAAAACTTTTAATTTATTCAAGTTTAATTTTTAACTCAAATTTTATTTAAAACTTATTTAAGTCAACTTTATAAAATTTTATAAAATTACTAGTATGGAAAAAAAAAATTAGTTTTTCAAGTGGGTTTCGGGAATTCCTATGAACAGCTATCCAAACGACGTCGTGTTCGGGGCATAAGAGTTGCATTAATTTAGAATTTTTACCCTAAGACGAGAGCGATATAAAAGAGAGCCAAAACCCACACCGAAAAAATCCCTAACCCTAAAAGAAAACCAATGGACAAAGATAAACACGCATCCAAACGGTCCCGTGACCGCGACGGCAGGCACCGCCGTGATTCCGATCTCTACTACGACGACCGCGAATCCCACCGCCGACCCACATCGCGCCGTGACGAGCGCGAGAGATCTATCGAGAGGGAAGGTTCGAGAGATAGGAAGCATCGTGAGGGTTCCTACGAGGAAGTTGAAGCGAGGAAAAAGAGGAAAGAGAGAGAAGAGAGTGAGGAGAGAGGGGAGAAGAGGAGTAAACTTGGAGAAGAAAACAGAAAGGAAAAGAGAGAGAGGAGGAGATTTGGGGATAAGGCTAAAGAAGATGATGAAATCGAGTTGTCCAATGGCGCCAGTGGTGGTGATCCAGTTCACAATGTGAGTCTTTGAATTATTTTTTTCGTTAGTTTTATCTTTGCGGCCAGTGTTTATCTTTATTTTTTGCTTGGCTGTTGGGAAATTGAAAGGGGAAATGAAGTTTAATTAAAAAATTAGTGACAAATCTAAAGTGTCTAAGACTAAGCTTGTTATAATTTAGAATTTAATATCATTTTGATGAAATAAAGAGGAAAATAGTAGAAAATAAGTAGCAGATATAACAATTTTGATCGAGTATTAACCTTATTGCTTTATTGTCAGCAATCTAATCTGTATCTGATGAAGCTTCTCTTGGATTTTAATTTATTTGGAACCTGTATTTTCATAATGTTTCAGGATAGGAAGCTTAATCTTGTTGCATTGATTTTATTTTGTTTTCTGGGATTTAAATGGATATTGTAATATTGTATATGCAATTTCATATTAAATGCTGTTGCACTCGATTGCTATAAATGTTTCTGTGAATTTCAGTAGTGGAGAGAGATCCAAAACTGAAAAACAGCTGCTGTAATGTCATGTTGTGGGCACTATTTAAATGCACTGTTTTGAACATCAGATTCCCTTGTTTCTATGGATTTTCCCCCAAATGTCCATTCTCACTAGGAGTGGATTGTTGCATTATGATATGCATTCTGTTGAGTTAGTACTTAATTACTTGTTACATAAGTTTTTGACATTGCTTATCAGATTTTGTTTCTACTTCTTTCCTTTGGATGCTGGTTTGTCAGTTTTTTGGCTGGAGGGGTCATAGTTGTTGTCTTCTTACATTTGCAGCTAACTCAAGGCTTGTAGAAATAGAAGTTCATAATATTATATATATGATTTGATTCTATGTTGCTACAGTTCATTTTTCTTTAAATATCTGTCTTGCATAATGTTTGATGCATCTCATGGGTATGGGAATTGACCCTTTGGGTACATGAATAAAATGGGAAAATTTGAATATCATGACACGTACCAATGTCTGAGATTCACATCCGAGTTCGAATAACCTAGCTTTGATGAACTTTCAAGGAACTTACCTTTCTTCCGTTGTCCTATTATTAAATATAATGTTTCACCATTTTTTACTATATGTACTAACTTATGCATAACTAAGATGTTAGCTATCATCACATGATAGTATTAGATTGAAATGTATAATAATGGACAATATTATTTGAACTAAAATGTAGGATTGCATCTGATTCAATGGAGTTTGTTGATATCATGCTAATTTAAAATTGATTCTAAGTTGTATCATTTTGCCGAAATCATTAGTTATGCTGATGTAATTTACTTTTTTCAATATGTGAAGGATGCTGATCTGGCATCATTACCGAAGACTGGTCACCCCCTTCCCTCCAAGGTATCTTCAATTTCTACTGCTGAAAATAAAGCATATAGTGTTACCGGATCTCATGAGGTTACTGGATCTAGTACAGATGGCTCTTCATCTATTGGGAAAAGTGGTGCAAACTTCTCTCTTGATGCCTTAGCCAAAGCAAAAAAGGCTTTACAAATGCAGAAAGAATTAGCTGAGAAAATGAAGAAGATACCCATTGTAAGTTCATCTTTCTTTTCTTTTTTCTTTTTTAAAAAGAAAAAAGAAAAATTCCCCAGTTTTAAATTAAAAATATTAATGTTGAATTGGGATTGTCATGTGTAGTTGAACAGAGGCCCTAACTCAAGCTCAGTAGTGGGTACCGGAACAATTCAGCGACCAGCCTCATCTGTGACTGTCGCCATTGCCAGTGGACCATCAAGCTCAGCAGCCCCATCTGCCACTGTACCAGTAGCTTCTTCAAAGCCACCTACTACTGGCATGGCTGCCATTCCTGGCCTCGCATCAATACCCAATTTAGAAGCTGTTAAACGTGCTCAAGAGCTGGCTGCTAAGATGGGATTCCGCCAGGACCCTCAGTTTGCTCCTCTAATAAATATGTTTCCTGGACAGGTGCAAGTAGATGTTCCAGTTGCTCAGAAACCTACCAAGGCACCTGTTTTACGAGTTGATGCACTCGGTAGGGAAATTGATGAACATGGTAATATCATAAATGTGACTAAACCAAGTAATCTTAGCACCCTCAAGGTTTGTGAAATTTGTACTATTGGTGCAATCATTGCTATTTTATAATTTCAGTGCTATTTCTGTTATTTTAAAGGCTGTTATTTAGCTCGAACCATTTAATTTTTCAGGTCAACATTAACAAGCAAAAGAAAGATGCATTCCAGATCCTTAAACCCGAGCTAGAGGTGGATCCGGAATCAAATCCACATTTTGATGAGCGGATGGGAATCGATAAGAATAAACTTCTTAGACCAAAAAGGATGAGTTTCCAATTTGTAGAGGAAGGAAAATGGTCAAAAGATGCGGAGATTATCAAATTGAAGGTATTATTGTGTTTTTATTTTTTTGATTCTTCCATTACTTGTTTGTCTGGTTTTGTGATTATTGTCTATTTATTACAGAGTCAATTTGGAGAAGCAAAAGCGAAAGAGCTTAAAGCAAAGCAAGCACAATTGGCAAAGGCAAAGGTTGATATAAATCCCAATTTAATTGAGGTGTCAGAAAGAATTATAACAAAAGAGAAACCAAAAGATCCGATTCCTGAAATAGAGTGGTGGTAAGTTGGGTTTCCTTTCATTGTTGTATAACATTAAGTTTACATACCTTTAATTAATTAAATTAACTAGGAAGCTTTGGTTGATTCAATAATGTTCGTTAAGAAAAAGTTCAAAGCTTATCTTCCTGATTTTTTATTAATATTAAAAATAAGGCATGCAATGCTCTTCACCATGTGTAAAGCCAAAAAACTTTGCATATATGTTCAGCATCACATGTCATTTCCTTGTTTAAAAATTTAAAGGAAGAATTACAATCTGTGACTTGGATTCGGGTATAAGTGTCTGGTACAGGTATGCTTAAATTTTTTCCATTTATGTGAGGGATCCTTGGTCCATATTAGCATAGCTATGTCCGAGAATGTGTTGGACTTGGGTTTTTTAAAAAAACATTAAGAGTTAGGCAACATAGGTTACAAATACTAGGTTATTTCATCTCTTTACAATCCCTTTTTTCTCATTGCTTTTGTTATATTTCAGGGATTTGCCTCTTCTTGTCTCGGGTTCCTATGATGACATCATTGATAGTGTGCTGAGTGAGGATAAACTGAAGGAGAAGAAGATCACGATTTATGTTGAACATCCTCGTCCGATTGAGCCTCCTGCTGAGCCAGCTCCACCACCGCCTCAGCCTCTGAAGCTAACCAAGAAGGAGCAGAAGAAGCTTCGGACTCAGCGACGTCTTGCCCGGGAAAAGGATAAGCAGGAGATGATTAGACAAGGCCTGATAGAACCTCCCAAACCAAAAGTTAAGTTGAGCAACTTAATGAAAGTTTTAGGATCTGAAGCAACTCAAGATCCCACTAAACTCGAAATGGAAATCCGTAGTGCTGCCGCTGAGCGGGAACAGGCTCATGTCGACAGAAACATTGCTCGCAAGCTTACCCCTGCTGAACTCCGAGAAAAAAAAGAGAGAAAGCTTTTTGACGACCCAAATACGGTGGAAACAATCGTTTCAATTTACCGGATCAATGACCTCTCACATCCCAAGACCCGCTTCAAAGTAGATGTTAATGCCCAAGAAAACCGTTTGACTGGTTGTGCAGTGATTTCCGAGGGCATTAGTGTTGTAGTTGTTGAAGGTGGAAGCAAATCCATTAAGAGGTATGGGAAGCTTATGCTTCGACGAATCAATTGGGCTGAAGCCGTAAACGAAACTGATGGAGGAGATGACGATGAAGAGAAACCCCCTAACAAGTGTGTGTTAGTTTGGCAAGGCAGCGTTGCTAAATCAAGTTTCAACAGGTTCTCGGTTCACGAGTGCATCACCGAAGCAGCTGCAAGAAAGGTATTTTCTGATGCTGGTGTCGGCCATTACTGGGACCTCGCGGTTAATTTCTCCGAGAATGATTTTTGATTTCCTAGACAAGACTTGGGATGTTCTCTAATCTGAATTGTTATTAAGAACTACTTCATCGAAGCCCTTTTCTCGAATACCGTTGTGAACTACTTCGAATTCTCTTTTGTTGAATGGTCGGATTCGAACTGAGTTTAAGAATCGCTTTATCAGTAGTTTTGTATGCTTGGCTTCAGTTGACCTGAAATATGAATAAGACCCTGTCTACATCTAGTCCTACATGTAACAAAACTGAAGTCCTCTGTTGTCGGAACTTGAATTTCAATTGAGATTTCTATGCTGTTAGTGTACAATGTTAAAAAATTGGTTTTCATATTTTAAATATGCTTCAACGATATTGATAATTGGGGATTTAATTAGAACGTTTTTAAAGTTTGGGGACTCTGATGGAATCTGAACAATAGTTTGGGATATGTGTAATTTATTAAAAAAAATTAATTAACGTTCAAGACACGCTAGTTTTCTGTTTTCTCAAGTTTATTATTGTAATTCCAATGGGGCCTTTTTAGTAATTAGGCATTATCTGATTTTTTCAGCGTTGAAAGATCATTATCATTTGGTTAAGGGATATGGGATTACTAGGAGAATGAAATGTTATTTTTTCGTTTGGTTGGCCAATATTTTCAGCCTCTGGTAATCTTTTATTACCAACAGTGATATTTTAAGAGTATATTATCGGTAATGTGATTACCTCCCTTTCTTTGGGTATTGTTAAATTATCGGCGTTTTGGACTAAAATGCCCTTAATTTTTCCCCCAAAAATATTCTTCTTCTGTCGTTGAATAAAAAAATTTCTACGAAGGTTAAATTACAAATTTATCCTTAAATTATTTTAGATTTACAAAAAAAAAAAATCCATAATTATAATTTTATATGAAGTTCAAGGATTAAAATAAAATTTTATCATTTCATTAAACCTATTTATCTTTTCAATTTTGTAAAGAAATTATATAAGTTTTATGGATTTAATTTTTTTTTAAAAATATATAAATTAATTATAGTAAGATTATAGTAGAATTCAATTTGTTAAAAAAATAAATATATAATAAGGACAATATGATAAAATATACATTCTAATAATATTTTATTTTTTAACCAAACACGTTAATCTTACGTTCCTGCTAAACAAACCAAACATAAAATACAACATTCCCAGTAATCTTATTCCCGCCCGTAATCTTATTTACACTGATGATCTTATTCTTATTCTCACTGATAATCTTATATCTCGTGAACTAAACTCATACTTAGGGCTTAAGGCCCTATAAATATTGAAAAGAAAACGCTGCGTTTAGTTGAACACTCGTTCTCTTCGAAAATTCTAGGGTTTTTCATCATCCCCTTCATCGCCTCTCGCCTCTGAAATTCAATCGTAAGTTTCCTTTTTTGTGTGTAAATTGTATCTCTTTTATTATGTCCTTGTTTAATTTTCATTTAATTTTGAATTCTCATGTTCTTGCGTCTCTAAATTCTTGATATTGTTCGTAGATCTAAAATATTGTTGAGCTTGTAGTTTTTCAAATTTTCAAATTTCCGCTTTTTACAAACAGAGAGATACATTTATCATCCCCTCCTCAAATTTGTTTGTTTTCAAGCTTATATGTAGTTTTCCCCCTTGTTTATTTATGATATGTATAATAAAAGATAATATGAACTATGGGTCTGTTTAGATATTGCATGGTTGTTTCTTTCCATACTTGAATTTGTGTGTAATTGGATTAAAAAACACAATTAAATTTAAAAAAAAAAAATCAGATTTTTTTCCTCTTGTTTGTTTAATATAAGCTAAATTGAATGCCAGGATCTATATAGAATAAGAAATCAAACATTTTTGAACTGGTTGTTCTAATTTTTACCTTAGAGGCTGGTTAACCATCCTTCGGTAACAGTTATGAAGGGGACTGGTTGTGTAACAGCAATACAAGAAAATGATTTAGCTAAAAGATAAGTAAAATTTATCATCAAACAGCATTGTAATACTAGGAGAAAATAAGAGATATTAAACTAAAGAATGTTCTTTCAGTCGAAGAGCAAATGATAGAACACACTACGAGTCTGTTTGATTGTTTCTCTTAATAATCATTTTTATGTGTGCAATTGAATATTAAGGTGATACTTGCATAGAATTAAAATTAAAAAATGGTATATTTTGGGGTAAACTATTCGTGATTTTATTTATATGAAAGGTTTCTGTTATAGTTTTTATTACATTTTAATTGTCTGTTAAATTGAAAATTGATTCGTATTTCTGTTCTACGATGTAAGCGAAAGAAAGATTTTTAAGGTGACTTGTGCTTGAAGTTGATTGTTGATGCCGTTAATGATGATTGGAGCATTTTAATTATGTAAATTGTTTTTGCTTTCTTTTTTCTGAGGTTCTAATGGTTATTGTTAATGCAGGACAAGACAATATGCCTAGGTATGATGACCGCCGTGGTGGCACTCGCCTTTATGTTGGTCACTTGTCCTCAAGGACAAGATCACGTGATCTGGAGGACATGTTTAGCAGATACGGGAGGTAACTGAATCTTTTTGCTATGTTGAAGAGTTTGTAAATTTATCTTATTAGGTAGACTGCATTTCATTTAGTGTACTTGTTTAAGTGTTTTGTTTTGTTTTTCTTCATTTGGGTGTCCATGGTTGTTCTATTCTTTTGTATTGAAGGCCTTTAGGATAGGTTCAGGGTGTAGTGACAATGTAGGAGAATGTAGTAATTTCCAAAGCCCTTAAATGCAGTGACCCCTGGTCCTCCTATTAGAATATAAGAGAGATGTTGCAACCCTCCATGTGTCAGTCTGGTTTAACTGGAATGATCTTGTTGAAGGTCCCTATGCTTTTGCCTAACCCGGAGGTCTATGGTGAGAGGGTGACCTTGGTGGATTTGGCGAGTCTTTCTGTAGTGTTATTGCGTGTTTTTATCGAAATGGCCACAATCTCAAAAGTGGGTGTTTTTCGTTCATCTGTGAGGGGCAAACTATCGACCCTTCGATAATTGTGTCATGATGACCTTACTGTTTCTGGCACCCATTTGCGCAGAGTACGTGATGTGGATATGAAGCGAGACTATGCATTCGTTGTATGTATTTCATCTCTCTTTTAATTTAAGCCGGAAATATTTTTTTTTGTCTAGAATTTCTTCACCATATATTGAAAATATGACATTTTTCCTCGGATCTTTTCTTTGCTTTGTTTTGTGTGTTTTCTTGTCTGGCTCCTTGATAACAGGAGTTCAGTGACCCTAGAGATGCTGATGATGCAAGATATTCATTGAATGGTCGAGACCTAGATGGATGCCGTATTGTTGTGGAATTTGCCAAGGGAGTAAGTTTTATTATAAGTTCACTGCCATAAATTTTCAAGAAGGCAATGAATGCTATATGTAACCCATTGAGAAATTTAACCATTCTTTGGTTAATGCTTTTAAGTACTTATTCCCTAATCCCTTCTAATTTTTGGGTGATGTGCCAAAAAATTGCGATGTAGGTGCCCCGTGGCCCTGGGGGATCTCGTGATTATGCTGGAAGAGCTCCTGCTCCTGGATCTGGGCGCTGCTTCAATTGCGGAATTGATGGTCACTGGGCTCGTGACTGCAAAGCCGGGGATTGGAAGAACAAGTGTTACCGATGTGGGGAACGAGGCCACATAGAAAGAGATTGTCAAAACAGCCCGAAGAAACTGAGGTCCATTCCGTTCGGTCCGAATAGGAGTGCTGTTTCTATCATTTAAAAATTTCTATTTTGTATACTTGGGAGATAATTTTATTAATCTTATTGTTGCAGCCGTAGACCTCGTAGTTACTCACGCTCACCTAGTCCCCGGCGTGGTCGAAGCAGAAGCCGCAGTTACAGCGGGGGGCATAGTGACAGGTTTGTGTTTAGCTTTCCCTGTGACAAGTTTCTCCAGTTCAGATACTGGAATTATTTGTCTTGAAAGTTGTCAGGCTTATTCTCTTTTGTGTGTGTGTTGAATCTCAACCTTCTACAGTAGATCTCGATCACCTGTGAAACGAGAAAGAAGCTTCGAGCTTGACGATAGGAGATCAAGGAGCCCCAAGCGCCACAGACGTTCTCCATCCCCAACCCGAGGGAGGAAGCACAGTCCAGTACGCGATGAAAGAAGCCCTTTCCCCGCCCGAAGGGGGAAGCATAGTCCACCTCTGGATGAAAGAAGCCCCCAAGAGAGACGTAGCCCATCCCCAAGGGACCGCAGGCACACCAATGGTTCGGATTACAGTGCGAGTCCCAGGGGAAGGAGCAGAACTCCAGATCAAAAAGCCGATGCTGAGGACAGGCCTTATAAGAGCTCCACAAAGGAAAATGGCCACAGCCGCAGCCCTAGCCCGCCCCCTAGGGAGGATCGAAGCCCTATTTACGATGATGAAGATGCTTCTCCGAGACGCAGCGAATCGAATTAAGCTGAAGTGGTTGGTAGGACTTGTTTGTAATCCGTGTTTGCTAGGACTGTTTGAGAATCTTAATATATTTTGATGGATAACTTGTGTTCTGAAAAATATTAAGCACTTTTAAGAAGTCTATTTCTATAAATGATCTCTTTTATATTCTATTGTAAAAATAATTTTAGGCCATAATTTCCGAGTTTTCTTTTTCACAAAAATAATTTTTGATGATCGGAGTTTCCGGATTAAAAAAATCCCATGAAAGATGTTCTCTTGGAAAATCATATATTCAAGTACTTGCTATGCTTAACGACGGCACTAAGTTGTCTTCCAAGTTGGCGGATCAAATAAAATTAGAATGTAATCTAATAATGATTTAGAAAAAATAATTGATTAAAGTTATAGTTAAAATTAGTTAGTCGATGATAGTTTAATGATTAGATGTGTAATTTATTTTTAAAAATAATAATAATTAAGGACTTCACGGGCAGGGACCGAACTATTTGTTGGGTGACAGATTGTCTCTAGTGAAATTCAGAATTTTTTTATTGGATAAGTCAATATAAAAACAATAGAAAAATTATTTAACATAATTATATATATATTTAAATTATATGTTTGTTTGTTTCGCGTAAAATATTTTTCGAAAAATATTTTTCTTATTTTTTAATGTTTGGTTGGAAGAAAATTGGTTGGTCAATGTAAAACATCAACATCAACATAATTTAAAAAATATAAAAATTTATTAAATATTTAATCAAGTAAGAGTCGAATTAAAGAATGATAAGTCTGTGTTCTCAAAGTTTTGGTCTAATTACAATTTAAGTCATTGTAAGTTTAAATATTAGATAAATTAGAAGTTGTTTTTTGAGTTTTTTATTTTTATTTTAGGGTGAATACAATGTAATATATGTATAAAGACTTTCAACTATTTGACAATGAACACTTATACCCTTACATACGTGATTGAACTCGAGACTTTAAGGATAACAACATTCCCTTAATCACTAAGGTCGCTTGATTTATGCTGAATTTCGAGTTTAAATACATAATAAGTTTTTATATTTTTCTTAAATAGTCTAATATTTCGGCCCTTGTCAATATTTAATTCTGGCTCCGTCCTTGAGAATTTCTTTTGCATTTTCTGAAAAATGACTTACGATTTGATTTTCCGTAAATCATTTTTTGAACTTTTCACTTTAAAGAATAAATACTCAAAATATTTTATTTTATATATTTAATATTAATTTAATATTTTAATATCATTTGTATCAAAATATTATTTATTAAAATATTTAAAAATATTTAATAATAATATAATAATATATTTTTAATATTATAATATATCTGATGTCTATTATTTCAGCTAAATGTTCCGCATCAGCATTCTATTATTTCAATAACGACTATTAATGACAAGTGACTGATTTTTTATAAGTCAATAATGTCAATGATCAAATCATTACATTTGAAACAAGAGAAAAGAGAAAATACTGATCATTTGTGTAGTTTACCTGTTAAAATTCCCAACCCTAAAATAGACCATAGAATTAAAAAAAAGGGATTCAAGTATGACCCGATATCCGATTTCGAAGCCCTCTAAAGACAAAAGATTGAGTTTATTTAAGTTTTTTCAGAAAATTTATTCAAATGCCTCACATCGTACCTAGGGGTGTAAACAAATCGAGTTAAACTCAATTATTACTAAACGCGACTCCAACTCAAAAACTACAAAAATAAACTCAATTCGAAAACTAAAAAATATCAAATTTAACTCGAACTCGAAATGTATTATTAAAACCCGACTCAAACTCGAAAAGACTCATATTCAAAAAAAAATCAAAAGCTCAATTAAAATTCAAGACTCAAACTCAATTAAGCTCGATCCTCCCCTGAAGCAAGCTACTATTAAAGGTTTTCACCCTCAAAAAATAAATTTAATATTGTGTAAGCCATTAGCCTACGTATTAGATATTAAACTAATAAACATATACAAGATCTTAGCCAAAAGGCCGAGAAATATATACTTAACATAAGCGTTAGTCCACTCCTTTTATAACTGCTCTCCAGTGCTTTAACTCTCTTCAGCGTCCGGTGTGGGATATAAATTCAAAAGGCTTTGGAGTCCTGAAGGGAGCTCGATTCTTCATGAAAGAAACGCATAATTTACAACTTCGATGACATTGTTAATTGGTTTTCATTAAACATCGATGACATTGTTAATTGGTTTTCACTTAATCTTTGTACTTTGAAGTAGCATAGCAGAAGATGAGGAAAACGAGAAGTTGTTTGTAGTCTCTGTTATCACTTCATCATCGTTCCCCTACTCTTTACAATACCCTTTGCATTCCTGCAAATTTGACCTTCTTTATAAAACTCAGATGAAATTCTATTGAGATGGAAATCCAACCATGAGATTGATGCCAAAAATGAGGGGGAAACGAAAGTTGACAGAAAAGAAAATTTTGGTCTAAACTGAAGACTGTAGACAGAATATAGCAGTGAATTTTGGTCTAAACAAGACCCTACCTGCAAAACAATGGTTTGTTGGAAGTATATGGTATTGTTTCTCTCAGATCTTGATGGCCGAGAGAAGAAAAAGACATGGTCTCACTGCAAAAAATGGAAGGACATACATGAATGAGTTTAGCATGATTTTTTTGTTGGAGTGCAGCTGCAAGTAACCTTCGAAAATTCACTTCTGTTTTACTGATTCCCATGTCTATGCCTGTCCTGTAACCAGTTTTTCCCATGTCTATGCCTGTCCTGTAACCAGGTTTGCCAAATAAAGAATCTAAATGATTGACTTAAATGTAGATTATGTGCTTATTAATTGAAGTTGTTGAACTTACTGTTCCAATGCAGGGACATGGTACGGGCTATACGTGCTTGCAAAACTGCAGCAGAAGAACGTGCTGTTGTAAGGAAAGAGTGTGCTGCTATTCGTGCAGCAATTCTTGAAAATGATCAAGACTATAGGCACCGTAACATGGCAAAGCTCATGTTCATTCACATGCTTGGGTATCCCACGCATTTTGGCCAAATGGAGTGCCTGAAGTTGATTGCATCTTCTGGATTTCCAGAGAAGAGGATTGGATATCTTGGTCTTATGTTGCTTCTTGACGAAAGACAAGAGGTTTTGATGTTGGTGACAAATTCATTAAAGCAGTATCCTACATGTAGACTTTCTCAAGTTTAATTTGTTCCCATTTCCTTTTCCCTATTACCATGTGAATACAAAGGTTTTGATGTTCGTAATTTTGTAAATACAAAGGTTAAAAAATCCATGTGAATCCATGACCACATGCCACGTGAGTGAGACCTCAAATTGTATTATGTAATTATGTTCCTACATCATGAATAGTGTGATATTTGCTTAATAATATTATGCATTCTTCATAAGGAATACTATATTTAGGGTTTATGATCAGTCAAAATAATTGAAATGTTCATTCTTCAATTTGGGAGTTTAAGGTTTATGGTTAGTCAAAATCCAATAAGGAAATATGGTTAGTCAAAATAGTCAACCAGAAAAACAGTTGAAACATTCATTCATCAGTTCGGGAGTTTATGATTTATGGTTTATGATTTATAGTTTAAGGTTTAGGGTTCATTACAAATACATTTATTAATTGATTTAGTATCGATTTATGAGGTAAGTACAATATAGTATATTTATATTAAATGCTAAAACTCTTGATATTTATGATATTTGAACCCGAAACCTCAAAATATAATAACAATTTAAAAAATTAGTTATTAAAAATATTATCATTAGAAATATATTAAATATTTGTCATTAGATAAATAATTTTTTATTAATTTAAAATAAATATAAGAATATTTATTCAAAAATAATTTTTAACAATTTTCAATTTTTCTATTGTTTGACTATTTTTTATTTTATTTTTCTACGTTGTTAAGTACTTGTGTAGTAAAAAGTTAAAAAAAAAGAAAAAAAATCAACCAAACACGTGTAATCTAACATGTGCTTAATTATATGAGTTTTTATTTTTCTTTTAATAATATACAATGTAACAATTGAACTTGAGCTGATTAATTAAAAAAATTAAAAATTAAGAGTTGTTGTATTATAAAATTTTTAATATATTTTAAAAATTTTATTATTATCAATAGTGTATTTTTAATAATGTAATTTTAAAAAATCTAAAATTATAATATAACATTTTTTCGAGCTGCTCACGAGCTTTTCGAGTCGAATATCAAGCAGTTCGTTTCGACTCGTTAAGAACTTGAGTCGAGCTCGAGTTCAAATCGAATCTATTTAATCCAAATATTTATCAAATCTTGATCGAATCAATCTCAAGTATTTCGCTATATGTCTCGTTACACTTAATCGCACTTCCCTTCCTTTAATTCCTCTCTCTTTCTTTCACTTCAAATCACTCTCAGCATCTTCCATATTTTTTCAGGTAAAACTCTCTCCGTCTCTCTCTCTTTCTCTCTATGATCCACTCTAAAATTTAACCCTTTTCTCATTGAGAAAAATATTTTTAGATATTGAGTTTTTGAATGTGTTTATGGTTTCAGTGAAGTAAGATTCTCTGTTTTTTATCTTTTACGATTTATTATTATTCTTACTGTGGCACACTTTTAATTGGTTTAGTGAAGTCGTAAGTGAGAAGAAGATATGCTATAGGAGTCATTATGCGAATCTTTTTTTTTTAATTTTTAATTTTGTTTTTGGGTTGACACGTAAACGATTTGTTACAATTTACAACCCTTTTGGAAGGTACTGTTTAGCTTCTAATTACTCAGATAGATGAGATGGATCTTCACGAAGATGAATCTTGGGCTGGAGGTGAACACAAAGGAAAACAAAACGATGAGGTACGATTAATGGCCTAGTTAATTTCACGTGAATGGGTATATAAGGTTTACTGTTTGATTGTATGTTCTTCTTTCTTGAAGTTTTTTCTTCATAAGAAGTTACTTTGAGACTGGGTACACCACACTTAAATATGTTTTGTTCTAATTTCAGGAAGCCGTTGCTCGTCTTGAGGAAGTTAAGAAATCTATTGAGGGCAAAAT